CTGCTTTTCATAAAATCACATCACACGCTGCAGAGGAGAAGATTTGGTCCTTGTTTACTTGTTTGCTCACTTATTACAAATATGTCTTGGTGAAAAGGCTCGCTAAATCTCAGATAATCACCTCCTATTCCAGTGCTGGTATACTGCAATTGATTAGGTCGTGGAATTCTCGTTTTAGGCCAGGCAGGTAAGTTTCTGTCTTCACTCTATTATCCTGGATCCCTAGGATGTCAGGGCTACTAAGAAATCCTCACAGAGCGGACTGTTTGGAGTCACTTCATGATCAGGGAGAAGTAACGGGACCACGATCTGAAGTATCTCCTTCTGTCATCTCAGGCTCAGTTCAGATGAGGAAACGGTGGGCTGTGAGGTGGGTGGTGGGGGCTCCAGAAAAGAGGTGTGAAATTAAGGAGCTCCATTTCTAGCAAGAAGGTCCCTAGGTGGTGCAAATGGTTTGCACTCAACTACTAACCTAAAGGTTGGTGGTTCGAACCCACACAGAGACTTCGCAGGAAAAAGACCGGGCTATCAGCTCTCGTTAAGATACAGCCAAGAAAACCCTGTGGAGAAGTTCTACTCTGTAACATGTTGACTCGATGGTAATGTCTTTGTTTTTTTTTTTTTTTTATTTATTTCAGAGAGAAAAAAAAAGGAATGTCAGGATATGGAGAAATCTAAGACAGGTACTGAGGGACGGGGCAGTTATCAGTCCACTTTCAATTCCTGAGGAACGGGGACCACTCCTGCTGATAGGTTCTGAAAATGTTTTCAACCCTACTGACTGTGGAACACACTTTACATCCAAAGTGCTGCAACTCAAAATCACAAACCATTGGAATTGAAAATGGCCTCTGTACTAATTTCCGGAAAACCAGAGTACATGGACAAAATTGTTGACTTCTGCAACTAAGCTTAAATCCTCAGATAAAGCTAATCTTCCTCCTACCCTACCTGTAACACCACATCTTGCATTAGGGCTCAGTTGTTACAAATGTCAATACTTTCTAGTGCGTATCCTCACTGCTAGGTTGTAAGATCCTTGAAGACTGTTTCTCTTGTTCACTGCTGAAACTCAAGCAGAGCAAGTTACTTATTGCCCTCACTGGTAGTCACCTTGTCCCTCTTAAATGAAGGATTGTGGGAATGAACGACTTAAGGAGAATAAATTGTGGCAAATAGGACATAGTAAGTTTCTCCCTTCCTTTGTCCTTGGCAGTTAGGAAGGAGAGGGGCTCAGATCAAATCCTGGGCCAGTGGAGAAAGGCCATGGAGTGGTGTCTCAGGGGGTCACAGACCAGGACCAGGGTAATGCCAGCAGGGTGCCCAGAATTCCCAGAGAGCAACTTTGGTAGGCTGAATAACGGCGCCCAAAATATCCAGGTCCTAATCCCTGGAGCCAGTGACTGTTACCTTATATGAGAGAAGAGTCTTTGCAGATGTGATTACATCAAAAATATTAAGATGGGAATATTATCCTGGATTTTCCAGGTAGGCCCTATATACAATCACAATAGGCAAGCAGGGGGTGATTTGACCTCAAAGGAGAAGGTGATGTGAAAACACAGCAGAGAGAGATTTGAAGATGCCATGCTGTTGGCTTTGGAGATGGAAGAAAGGGCCATGCCTAGGAACGCAACAAGAATGGATTTCTAGGAGATGGAAAAGGCAGGGACACAGATTCTCCTCTGGAGTTTCCAGAAGGAGTGTGGCCCTGTCTATACCTTGGTTGAGGCCCAATTGAAACTCATTTTGGACTTCTGGCCTCCAGAGTTGCAAGAGAAGAAACATGTGTTGTTTTAAATCTCCAGGTTTGTGGTAACTTGTTACAGCAGCCATAAGAAACTAATACAGTGCTCTTTTACTCACCCAGTCTGCCATTCTCGAAGGCCTGACACTGTGGCAAAGCTGTACTTTCCTCTACCCTCTTCAGTCTCACCATCCAGTTTGGCATGAAAGAAGTGCCCTTTATTCCCTTTGTGGGGCAATCACTGAAGCGAGGTAAGGGGTCCCCCAGTGAAGCAGTCAGGCTGGAACTGAAAATACACCCAGAGGGGAACCAGGACTTAATTTGAAGACAAAGAGAGGCCATGGAAGTCTGCCCCAGCTTTCCCCTGTCCAACCTCAGGCATCCTGTTCTCTGAGTCCCAGGACAATTCATAAGCTCAGAATCACGATTTAAAATCGGTCAATTGTAGATTGGGGTGAGAAAATAGATACTGTAGCCTTTACTAAGTGTCTAAAAACAGGTAGTCACTCCTATATGCTTATAACATATCAGAAACATTCATTACAATAAAGTTTTATTTGATTTCATTTGAATATGTAAATATGAAAGTCGTTACTCTAATTTTACTTTATGTTTTGGTAAATATAATGTAATATATTTCAGTATCACATTACAGATAAAGTTTAGTGAGAAATACATCTGTAATATCACAACAAAATCCAATGGGAAAATAGCATAAATGTACATAATTTAGTTTACCTAAACCATAGCTTCTACCATTTGTCTGTAACTTTGTCATAATTTGGTGGCTTGCATGTTACTGTGATGCTGGAAGGTATACCATTGGTATTTCAAATACCAGCATGGTCTCCCATGGTGGATAGGTTTCCGAGGCGCTTCCAGACTAAGACAAACTAGGAAGAAAAGCCTGGTGATCTACTTCCAAAAATTAGCCAATGAAAAATTTATGGGTCACAACAGAACATTGCCCAACTTGCTTGCATTGGACATGTCATCAGGAAGGATCAATTGCTGGAGGATGACATCATGTTTGGTGAAGCAGACAGCTAGTGAGGGTGAGGGAGACCCTTGGTGAGATGGATGGACACAATAGCCTCAGTGATGGACTTGAACATGAGGCGATTGTGAAATTGACACAGGACTGGGCAGAGTCTTGTTCTGTAGTACATAAGGTCTCAATATGAGTTGAAGTTGACTTGATGGAAGCTATTTAACTATCTAACCCTTAGCTTTATGAAGTCTGTGTGATCAAATGAGGCACACATACCATCACCACCATCGACCTCAGAATTATCAAAAGTATTATTTTTATTATTTTAACAAAATAATTATCATCACTCCTTTGCATAATTCTTCCTTAAGTTTTTCAAGCACATGAACCACTCTCTTCTATCAACTTCTACAGTCTTAGAATCAGTAGCACACATCTCACTGGCAGGTGGATGTGGACACACTTTACTATTGAAAAGAATAATATTTATGATGCATCTTGTCACCTCTAGAGCTGTAAATCTCTTCTTCACTCTAACTCGTCTCTTGGTCCCAATGCTGCCACGTAGGGACCATGAGGTCTTCTTAGAAACCTCTGTCCTGGTCAGGGACTGGCTCCAAATATCCATCACTTATCCTGAACATCAGTTCTGATAGGCCAAGGACCTTGTCCAGCAGTCATCTTCAGAGAACATCTGGAGACTCCATCACTGGCTGGGGACCTGCAGTGCAATGGAGGCCTGACCTCCAAAGCTGGGGTCTTAGGCTCAAGGTCTTTGCAAATGTTTCTGTGAGAGCACTTATCTCAACCGATCAACTACATTTATTTGTCTTATGATGGTCCAATTAGGGTGTGAGTTTCTCAAAGGAAGACAGGTGTCATGTTCATCTCTGTATTACTGCTGTGGAACCAAGTACAAGGGACACAGCCTGTGTGAAGACATGGAAGCCGAATGAATGGACCAAGAGACAGCAGCAGGTCAGCAGCAGACCTGAATGGGAGGTAAGTTGCAGCCACAAGGATATCCTGGTTCTACCTCATTAGACCCTTAGGCACGTGCACAGGAGGATACTGGAAACAGGTAGCTGGGGAGTGTGTGACACTGTCATCCTCCCCCCAGTTGTGAAAGCAGCAGCATACTCGGCTGTGCATCACAGACCAGCACAGGATAAAAGGGCTCCTGCCCAGGGCTCCTCACCCACAACCTCCTCAGGAACAGCTTCTCCTGCCTTCTCTGGACCCGGTGAGTGTCTGGAAGGGGACAGAACAGAACCTCAACCAGGAGGGATTGGGGAAGACAAGCCCAGACCTGAAATGGAAGCAGCAGGAGGCGGTCCATAGCGGGAAGCAGTGGGGCAGGTGATGGTGAGGAAGGAGTCTCATGGCACATGTCGGGGGTTCTGTGCATCGCAAAAGCCATAGGAGCTCAGGGTTCTTCCCATTTGTTCTGGGCATGTTGTCAGGGATGCACAGGGGTCCATCTGACATCCTTGAGGAGCTTCGTCCAAATGCACGTGTTCTGTCCACTTCTCTCCCAGAGATCCTGGCTTAGAAAGCAGCACAATCATAGGGGGCAAGTGTTTGATAAAACCTACAAGGGAGGAGACACTGGCCTGGAGCTTCTGTGCTCATTTGTCTCTTTTACTTTTTTCCAGGGTGAAACTCCTACCGAGATGTCCTGCCAGCAGAACCAACAGCAGTGCCAGCCCCCTCCCAAGTGCTCCTCACCCAAGTGCCCCCCAAAGAGCCCCGCACAGTGCTGGCCTCCAGTCTCCTCCGGCTGTACTCCCAGCTCCAGGGGCTGCCATGGCCCCGGCTCTGAGGGTGGCTGCTGCCTGAGCCCCCACAGGGGCCGCAGGTCCCACCGATGCTGACGCCAGAGCTCCAACTGCAGTGACGATGGCCGTGGTCAGCAGTCCAGGGGCTCCCGCTGCAGCCACAGCTCTGGGGGCTGCTGCTGACCTGGCCTCCTGATGCTGAGACAAGCAATTTGAGAGAAAACAAGGATCCAAAGTGCCAAGGAAAACCCTGCATCAAGACACTCTAATCTCCTTTTTGGACTAAGCAGCTGAAATGTTCATGGGGGAAGGTGCTCTCTCCCCAGAAGGCTCCTTCCATGTATTTTCCAGGAGCTGATGGGCTTCTCCTCCCCTGTACCTGATGGTGTTTGTTATCACCTGTGTCTTATTATGTAGAAAAATAAAACCGCCTGTCAATACCACCTGACTCTTGATGTCCTTTTACTTTGTCCCACCCAAGGCTGTCCAGTAAGTCTCCCCTCTTTCAGCTCCTGAGGGTTCAGCAGGCCCAGCACCAGAGGTGAATCCTGTCTTGGTATTGGAACATTAATAGGTCAAATTGTCCTCCACTCATAGGGGCATGTGGGCGCTTTGAGTGGGAGGGTAGGAGGAAAGGAAACAGAACAGTCTAGCTAAAGGCCTGACTTATGTAATATGGTGGGAGGGAATTTGAAAAATACAATCAGGATATGAAAAGCTTCTATGTCATCAAACTTGGGCTCTAGGAAGGGACACAGTGGTACAGAGAATCTTCAAATAGAGAAGAATGAGACCAAAGAGGATGGAGAGAAAGGTATGGAGGTGGAGAGCAAGAACTAAGGGAGGACGATCGAGTCAACCTACAAATAATGGACTTTATAAAGAGGTGAGCTGGAAGGTTAGCAAATTCTGAAGAAATTGGAAAGGAGGGTTTTCCCTCAACGAATGTGTGAGGAAGTGTTCAGCAAATGAGAGGCTCTGAGCTATGAGCGAACTGAGAAGGAAAGAAACAGGACATGAGAAATGTCTCAGGGGGTTACGCACTGGACATCTGTACATTTCTTTGACAATAGGAACCAGGAAGCCCTGGTAATTGCTCAAATACCTGCCACTTAGGTGTATGTATGTCCTGAACAGAGGTCATATCCCATATTTTGCAGGGTGGTGTAGAGTTGAAAATGACAGTAACCTGATGTAGAGTGATTGACTGGACAGACAGACAGAGAAGTAAAAAAGGAATCTGCTGCCATTTGATAAAGGCTGCAATAGAAGTGATTAACTACAAAGTCCTTCGTCCTTCGGGGGTCGGTCCTCTTTTCCTTCATGTTCCCTTAGGAGACCATGCGTACAGATGTGATGAGCTCTTGCTCTTGGGGGTGGTGCCTAAGCTGAGCACACTGAGCCTTCATGATGAAGTGTGTGTGGGAAATGATCTAAAGGTGAAGCCAGGGGAGGTGGAATCTCTGGAAAAACCTCATGGGAGAAACTGGTGTTTGACTGAAGGGCGAATACAGAGAACGAAAGTATAATGACTGGAGTGACAAGAATACAATTAACATATTAAAAAGGCATGATATCTATCCAGATCCCCTAGAATGTGTGACCTTCACTTTGAAAAAAAAAAAAAAAGAAAACCAAAAACAAACCTGTTGCCGTCGAGTTGATTCTGACTCATAGCGACCCTATAGGACAGAGTAGAACTGCCCCGTACGGTTGCCAAGGCTGTAATCTTTACGGAAGCAGACCACCACATCTTTCTCCTGCGGAATGGCTGGTGGGTTCAAACCACCGACCTTTAGGTTAGCAGCCGAGCACTTAATTATTGCACTACCAGGGCTCCTTAAAAATACAGAGGCAAGTGTGATCCATCTGCTTGAACTGGTTAAGGAAGATCTGCCAATCATGAATGATAATTCATGGGTTTAATGAAGGAGCTTTTGTTGAATGCAATGAGCTTGATGGTAGTGTTGGGTGCATCTCATCTAATGGAACAGACTCGATATAGCCTATGTTTTACCTATAGAGACTTGATATAAACTAAAGGCTATTTTCTCTGTGAATTTCATTTTTAATTTCTCACGGAATTTGTCTCTAATATTAAAATAAATACATTTTAGTGTATGTTTTTCAAGATAAATCAGAGTCAGGAATATAATCAAACTTTATATTTAAGTAAAATTGAAAATTTCAATGACAATTAAATTATATTCATTATAAGGGAGTGCGATTTTCTACCTAGTAGCTCATCCACGTAAGAGCACAATGATGCCATGACTTATTTCAAGTTGCCCTTAGTCCTGCCATTTGAATGTCTTCATCCATTCCATCACTCATGCATTCATCCATTCACTCTATTCAAACACCAGTGTTGTAGTGATAGGATGTATCTGGCCCTCTGCTGCACACAGGAGACTCAGGAGTGAACAAGACTTGGTGTCCGTTCTTGAGTAGCTCCTCGTGTAGTGGGCAGACAAGTAGTAAACTAAGCATGATCCAAGAGGGAGTGTTGTAATATACATGTGTGGGAAGTCCTCTGGCCTGAGGTCAGAGCCTTTGAGTGTCCATTCCCTTTTGCCTGCAGTGACTCTGAGGGGGAGGGTGTGCCCAGAAGTTGTTAGCTGCTGTCACTTGGGGATGACAGATGAGATGAGATCACTGGCCTGTGAGAACAGTCCTTGGACAAGTGGCAGGAGCCGAGATGTGGAGCCTTGACCTGTCCATGGCAGCCAGCCCAGGTGGCAATATCAAGAGGAGCTCATAGAAGCCAGAGGACAGCAGGGGGGTCATCAGGAGGGAGAGACTGAGGTTCAGAGGGGAGAATGGGGATGGGAGTGGGCGCTGGAGGGATCTAAGACAAAGTGTAAGGAGCAGGATAATGTGCTTGATAGAAGATTCTATTTTTGGGGTCAGAATTTCCTGAGTTTAAATCCCTGCTTGGCCAGTTAACAGCTGATGTCGGGGGTCGTGGGCGGGGAGAAAAATTTATGAAGTGATGGAGGCAGTCTAAACCAATGATGTGAGGAGTAAAATCAGAGATGGAGTCAAGAAATGTATAGGAGCTGTGTGGCATGATTTGTAAATTAACACACCTCCAAGGCCCACTGTGTCAGTGTCTTAGTGACCGTGACATTTATTCTAAGAGCTCCAGAAATAGTTAGGAGAGGGAGTGGTTCAAGTTGGCTGGGGTGGCTATGGTAGATTAGTTGAATGACGAATAATACTTAATTGGTGTGTTGATGATGAGGTTGTTAATGATGATACTTGGGAACACCTGAGTGGCAGTTGATTGACCAAGGGCTTTGGGAATTGCAATTATGAAAGGTGTGTAGTATTTTTCCACGGCATTTTATTAGGCATGTGTTGTCCTCTGAAATATCACATTTAAGAATAGGACAAACATTGTAAATCAGAAATACTAATTTAAATGGTGACAAAACATTGTTTTAACATAAACATTGATGAACAGTATATGTCTGGTTATCCTGATACAGGAAGGTCTATAGGTGTAGCCATGCCCTTGTAGGTGATCAAATAAGCAATATTCGTGGGAATAAAAGAGTGCTTTCATGTCACCTGTGAGAAGATGTTTTTTTCACTGGTGCTTGTGGGGTCAGGGAGGGAGGGCTGCTTGTGCAGGAATACTGTCCTGTTATTATTATTTTTATAGATTTCCTAAAGTGGAGACTTTTTTCCTTTTTTAAAAAAAATTACTGTGATAAAGTAAATATAACATAAAATTTATCATTGTCATAATTTTTAAGTGTGTAATTCAGTGATATTAATTATAGTCACAATGCTGTGCAACCATCACCTCTATTTCCAAAGCTTTTTCATCACCCCAAACAGAAACTCAATACCCATTAAGCAATAAACCCCCATAAACCCGTTGCTGTGGAGTCGATCTCGACTCACAGTGACCCTACTAGACAGAGTAGAAATGCCCCATAGGGTTTCTAAGGCTGTAAATCTGTACAGAAGCAGACTGCCACATCTTTCTCCCAAGGAGCAGCTGGTGGGTTCAAACCACCCACCTTTCAGTTAGCAGCCGAGTGCTTTAACCACTTGACACAGGGGCTCCTTCTAACTGTCCCATTATTACGAACAATTTATCCCCTTTCCTTTCTCGGCTGTTGTCTTTCGGTGTGGAAGCTAGCAAACACTAGATGTCCCTTTTGTCATCACCCAAGTCACTATCTCAAAGCCTTAATAATTGCCCAGGCTGAATATCTTCTCTGGGCTTATTAAACTGACAAAGAGTCCACCCCATCCCAAAGGGTGAGAGGCTAAGTGCACGGAGGGCCACTGTGTTTCAGCCTCTGCATTGCATGTAAATCGAGATAGTCTCCTGAGGATCCACCCGAATGTACATTCTCTAGAGAAGAAACTGTGTCACTGCTTCACTGCTGCATCCCCAGTGCCTAGAATTGAGCACTTACGGGTTCAGGTTGGGGTCTGGTGTCACCCTGATGAGGTACGGAGAATCTCCTTCTCTCTAGTGTTGGGCCCTGCCCTTTTGGGGTCAGTTCTTAAGAGCTTCACTTATTACTTCCGGCTTTCCCAGATTTCTTTGGTGTCCTTGCCGTGGACTTTATTGGTTGATCCTAGTCCCTTTTCTCTTCACTCCGATTATATTCAACCACACCAAGAGCTCTATTGTTTCTTCAAGAGCGGTGGTTTGAGGTGTTTCTGAGTCCTCAAGCCTTGTTTTACAGCCCCTGTGGACAGCGCCTTGTAGTTCTCCAAATTTGTCCGACCTCAGACACTCTGTTTCCAGGTGTGCACAGGCGTCCTGGCGTCGGCGTCCACTCACCCTGCTTTGCGCCTGTATCCTGAGTGGCAGGGTCTTCCCCTGGAGCCAAGCCTCCTTATCCCTTCACTGCCACTCAAGTGTTGTGTGATTTCAAGCAACTGAAACATAGTAACAACCTGGTTGGTACATGTCTGGGACTAAACTCCTCTCAGGGTTTTTTGGGGTCGTTTTAATCCGTCAAATTAAAAATTAATTGCTAGCTGATATTTCCCACAGGATTTAAAATTAATTCAATGAATTCCACACTTTTTTTCCTTTTTCTTTTTTTTCTTTCCTCCTCAGCCCCTAACATCAGTTTCTCTCAATATTTGCAATTTGACGGCAGTTCTTTGATATTTCTCTGGCTTTCTGGTAGCCGAAGTGAGACGGGATG